CTCCATCTGTTTCTATATCTTTTTGTATAAAATTTAATTTATTTGTTTTTATAAAATCATCAAAAAAAACAGCAAAACAATCCGCCTCTTTTATCTTAAATAATATACGCTCGGGCCTGCAACAAATAAATAAATAAATAAATATAAATAAATATAAATAAATAAATAAATATAAATAAAAGCATATAAATATAAATAAATATAAATAAATATAAAGAAATATAAAGAAATAAATAAATATAAATAAATAAATATAAATATAAATAAAAATATATAAATAAATAAATAAACATAAATAAAGAAATAAAGAAATACAAATAAATAAATAAATAAATAAATATGGATAGATATAAATAAATAAATATAAATATAAATAAATGAATATGAATAAATAAATAAATAAATATATAAATATAAATAAATATAAATAACCAAATAAATATAGGTAGATACAAACAAATAAATAAATATAAATAAATAAATACACAAATAAATAAATGTAAATAAACGAATAAATAGAAGCACTAAAGCTGCATTGACGAAAAAAATAAATTAAATAAAAAAAAAAAAAATAAAAAAAAATAATATAGACAGAAGAGAGAAATATAAATAGATAAAAATATATAAATAAGTAAAACAAAACAATAAAATAAATAAATATAAATAAAAAACTAACTAGAATATATAAATGAAAAATTAAATAAAATAAAAAATATAAACAAACTCTGTGTATCTATAATAATAAAAATAGACAGACAAAAAAACATAAATAAATAAAATAAAAAATAAAAAAAAAGTAAATAAAATGAATAAAATTAAATAAATAAAATAAGCGAATCAGAAAATTAAAACATAAATAAAATAACAAAAAAAACAAATAAAATAAAAAAAATAAAAAATAAACAAAATAAAAAAAAAAAAAAAAATAAATAAATAAAATAAAATAAATAAACCTACGTATCTGCGTCCCAGTTGATAGTAACAAAAGAAAAACCAAAAAGAGAAGAAGACAAACGAAAGACAGATTCTTCTATTTTATTGGCGCTCATACAGTGAGCCACACGAATACCTAAATAAATATAAATAAATAAATAAATATAAATAAATATAAATAAATAAATATAAATAAAGAAATAAATGTATTTTATTTTATTTGTTTATTTGTTTTATTTATTTATTTGTTTGTTTATTTGTTTAAAAACGAAAGACAGATTCTT